GTTACTAAAGCAAAACAGTGATTATAATCATGCTGAGGATGTGTAGTTTAAAAAGTATGTAATATATTGGTGAATGGCACCAGTGTTATTTCTTCTACTTGTCAGTGCTGTTTCTAATACCAAGTCTGTCTAACAGTTTCTCCTGCTAATCTCATCCATATCGCTATAAAATATAGCATTCTCTGTAGAAAGGACATGACAACCCAAAACCAGACTTCTTTCGCCCCAATGGAATATTTACACTTGTTCCCTATCCCCTATATAGTGCATACGTGCCATTCACCAGAAAATACTAATTCTGTGAACAAGTGCCGCAGTTTCACCGTCTATTTAAAGTGTGGGGGCGGGGCACTTTGGATTCTAGAGAGCATTTGATTGGACAGAAATTTTGAGAAGTTGAAAAGCTGAAGTGCAAGGTGATGTGATGTCATAAAAATCATTGTCCATATTGGCGAAAGTGAGAGACTTCAGGTTTTGAATGCTTATATTGTCTAAATGCGGATTTTGGCGTTCTAAGCACACAAGCTTAGATAACCTTAAGGCTAACATATTCATACTAAAAGCAAAAAACTTTTTAATTCAATGGGAACTTTAAAGTATAAAAGACCATAGCTGTCTTTTTTTATTAGACAATACATTGATATTGAAGCAAAACCAATCATTCAAGAATTCATTGATTCTTTCATATTTACTCAGTGTTGCATGTCTTTAAGAATTGTAAAAAAAAAATTTAATTTAATTTTAAATAAAAATTTTAACAATGTTAAAATTTTACAAATTTTACAATTTAAAACAATGATTCAAAATAATAATATAATATATGTGACCCTGTCTGTAAAATCCAGGCTAAAGTCTAAGGCCCCGTCCACACGGAGACACGTTTAGCTGTATACGCATACATTTTGTTTCGTATAGGCGTTTCGTCCACACGGATCCGGCGTTTTGGGAGAGTTAAACCAATATTTCGGAAAGGGAAAGCTCTGGCTTCGTGTGGACGTAGCCAAAAAATCTAATTATAAGATAACACGCATCAAAGTTTATTACATTAATTTCACTATGATTTCAATCTTTGACTTGGCCTCAGTCAATATTAAAGATATCAAGGTTACATTTTCACAAAATGTTCTTTACCTTATGAAGTATGATTTTATGTAGAAAATAGTACATAAAAAAATGACTTTAGTTGGGTTCTCACAGCCAGGGTCACACACACACACACACACACACACACACACATATATATATATATATATATATATATATATATATATATATAAAATAAAAAAAATGCTTATGTGATACTTCATAATTTAAAAAAGGAAAATGACTTCTGGAACCCAGGCCACTGGGCCAAGAAGATGGTGGTCACTGTTGAGATTTGTAAAGGTTAACAAGGTGTGAATGTCCATGCATCAGTCTTAGGATGTGTTAAACACATTATATATTGTTATAGAGAGTGAAAGCAGAGCTCCATTGATTAGGCGAGCCTGCAGGCAATTACATTGACTGTTAAATTCAATGCAGGCAGACGGGAAAGCTAACAGTTAAATAACTGAAACAGCCAAGCTTGAATTTCTGCCCATTCAGCATGCTGTCGCCTCATGTGGTATTTACTTGTGTGTTAATACTTTCTTTTTTTTCCAACCCTCTCCCCTCTCACTATCTCCTTCGGTTTACTTTCATCTTTCTCTCCACTCTATTTCTGCATTCTCTCGTGCTCTATCTCATCCCGGCTGTCTTTCTTCTGTCCTCTCCTCCCTTTTTGGTTCACTCACTTCATTTTGGTTCCATTCAGACTTCAATTTGAATGCATTCAAAGGGCCTTATTGGCAGGAAAGATAAACATTTACTTCATGGAGCCGGAGAAGGCCAATACAAATCAAGCTGTTGACAAACTCAAACACAGGCAGCCCAGGATTGACGGCGGCTTTAGGGATGAGGCTCTTGATCTTTAGGTTGACTTGTGTCTCTGTTTTGTGCGGCCCATGCACACACACACACACAGCAGACCGGAGTCTTTTTGGCTCTATTATGCTGCATTCGTCAAGCTTTCAATCTTTCTCGCTCTCCTCTTTGTCTCCCAAAGCCATTTCTGAGTCTGTTTCTTCTTGCTGCATTCAATTCTCTCGGCTTCTCTGTATTCTGTTGTGGGTTTTCTTGTGGTGAATTGTTTTATATCGCAGCATACGGCCTGTGCCGAGGTTACGGTACAAATAATCATTATACGTCACTTTGACGGACTGGGTTGTAAAATTTCTGTCTTGGTCTATTTTTGTTCATTTTTGATTTCCCTTGTAATTTTTTTTACTGTTTTATTCGTATACGTGCTCATTTTTCCACACATGCATTACACACCTCTTCTGAGATTGCTTTATCTGTGAGAAGCATATGTGAAATATCACACACATGGTATTTTATTCATGCACAGTAATAATTTAGGCATATATCAGTCCTGTTTAGGTCTACAGTGACCTGAACACATTTGAATTGAAAGGTCTGTTTATTTTTATGCTTGCATACATACACTTTCCTCCTTGCCTGAAAAGTTTTGGAAAACCACTCATAGTAAGCTCATGTTATTCTTCAGTAAAATATATAGCATCCCAGAATTACTATGTGAATCAATGATAAGTACAGAAACACAATAGACCAGATACTTTAATATTTTATATGTCAAAATGACCATTTTGAATCATCCATCGTTTTAAAAATGTGGTTTTCGGTTTCAAGTTAACAACCTCAGCTAGTCACGGCAACTGCTGCAAATATGTTTTCAGGTGCTAATAAACAGCAATGTACACTTTGGCAACAGTCCTGAATATTTTATCACATCATATCCACAGCCTCTTGTGTATGGCTTATATTACAGCGCTGGGACAAGTAACAGGCATTTTGGTATATCTCGTTTCTTGATGTGTGGATGGGAGTATATACCCGTGTTGTATGTGTTAGTGAAGGGCATTGAAAAAACAGGCATATGATGTTTAAAAGTGACATGTTTGTGCTGCTTGCAAACCAAAATGGTCAACGAGGAAGCCTTTAATAGCTTAAGTGGGTGATGCAACACATGGACAGAGTGGTGTGGACAACAGCCAAGTTAAACAAAATCAAGGACTATGTTTGGAATGGAATAATAGCTGCTTACTGCAAGTTGTGCATTATATACTGTATGCTGATTTTTTTTAATAGTATGCATTATTCAATGCGGTGGCTATATAGCAGAATTGTTTTCACGTGACCTCACTATGTTGCATGTTTGCACTGAATAATGTTAAAATGTTGCATGTTTAATTCGACTTCTAGCATCTAGTTATCTAGGTTGTAATTTGGTTTTTTTATTTTATTTTATTATGTTATGTTGTAATTTTATTTAAAATGTAAACTGCACATTTTGGATAATGTATTTGGTCAACCAGGCATTTAACACATACATACAAAAAAAAATGCATGGTGCTATTCTCAACATGCCATGTTTGTTTTTGGGATGCACAAGTCTGTATTGGATATATGTCAACCAGTATTGGATATATGTAATTATGCATGCTCATTTCCCCTATACATATTCTTCTTGTCTATATATATATATATATATATACAGTGGGTACGGAAAGTATTCAGACCCCCTTAAATTTTTCACTCTTTGTTATATTGCAGCCATTTGCTAAAATCATTTAAGTTAATTTTTTTTCCTCATTAATGTACACACAGCACCCCATATTGACAGAAAAACACAGAATTGTTGACATTTTTGCAGATTTATTAAAAAAGAAAAACTGAAATATCACATGGTCCTAAGTATTCAGACCCTATATATATATATATATATATTCATTTTTTATATTTGACTTGATTCAAAGTGTGAGAAATACTTTTGTCTGATCTCACCTTGCTTCGTCTTCTCTGTTAAAGGGAAAGTTAACCTTAAATGAAAATATGCTGTTAATTTACTCATTATTACATCTTGGATGGCCTGAGGGTGAACTTTGGGTGGCGTAAACCTTTTTGGTGAACTATGCAGTACCTTTAACATATCGAAAGAAATGCTGATACTGCCCTTTTCCCTTTTGTATCTCTCTTTTTGAAAAGCATCAATCAAACAGTTAAACTAAAATTTAGTAACACTCTTAATGCAATCTTTAAAAAATCTCAAAAATCTCAATTTTTCATATACTACATTAATAATGTTGTGATGTCTAAATTCACTGGTAACATTTAACATGACAATTTAATATTTTTTGTATTTGTATTTAATTTTTATTTAGCCAAAATAGTATGTATTTAGGCATAATAGAATTTTAATATCAGCCCATTATTGGTTACTGGCTATAACATGAAAATGATTACCTGCTTATCGATATCAGACAGAATTTTAATACTGTGCATCCTTAATTTATTTCTTAAAGGTGGGGTAAGCGATTTCTGGTAGCCAATGTTGACATTTGAAATCACCAAAA